CCATCCACTTCCAGACTTTTAAGCTGCTTGCTGGCAAAAGACGCATCTCATTCAGGACTGAATCTCTTTGTGTTTTAGGTGTTCAGTGTATTTCTCTTAAATTGAATAAAGAAATTAACACGGAGGGGGATAGAATTTTCTGCAAATACAGTATTTGCTGGAACTGAGAACACTTGTAACAAGTGGAAAGCAGTCAAAGATAGCATTTATTACTAATAGTTCTAAGTCCTGAACTTGGGTTCTACAGCCCAATATATCTGAAAAAGCCTGAATAGTTACCAGAAATATGAGTTCATGGTATGATTCAGCTGCCAGACGAGCCAAGGTGACTTGTGCTACATTAAAGAATACTTTCTATAGTAAGGAAGGAGGCCCCTCCTCCTGTGTCATAGTTTATTCTGCTGAGCGTGTGTATTTCATGAGTGTGTAAATGGAAGCGAAAATTCAGACAAGGGGCCGGGCATGGGCAGAGGGTTGGGGACCGTAAAACTGTCACCGTAGTAGAATGGCAGGAGGAACCAGGAACGTGAAGCCTGAAGACAACCAGATTAGGGAAGAAAAGATAGCTGTGTTGAAACATATGCACGACAGTCCCGTGGAAGAGAGTGTGTGATGATCGTTCAGGGTGTTCTCCAGGGCAAGGCACGGGGCCTGTAGGAAGGACACGGGAAGGCGGATTGGGACTCAAAATAAAGGAGACCGTGTCCACGAATGACGGAATCCATTTCCTGAGAAGGAAGTGAGCTTCTCAAATGGCGGTGGTCCACAGCTTTCCCTGGCTGCTTGAGAAGAGAGGAGCACTGGGGTGGTTAAGATGAGAGCCTCGGTGCCGCCATCCATGAGGCCTTTGATGGGCCAACCCAAGGGATGATCGTTTTTCAGCTTCTAGTCTCTATTCTTTTTCACATTTGTGTACCTTAGACACTTGAATTTGAACTGGTAGTCAAAATCCTTGATTCTAAATTTGCTCTCCGTGTAATCATTCTGTGTCATCTTCTGTAGGTTAACTTTTCTGGGCCTTGAGCTCTTTGGTTGTAAAGCATCTGGACGCGATCTTTGGGCTGTTTGTTCCAAACCTTAGCGCAGATGTGTTCAGAGGACTCTTTGAGACTTGGGAGGTTTTGTGTCTTATTTGAATGGAACTAAGTTTTCATGTTTCCTTTGGACGTAATGTTTAAAGTTCCGTCTAAAGACCGTGGTGTGTTGGGTTCACTGGAAGCTTGTCTCCTTGGCGACTGCCTGGTGGCATACCTTCCAGAAGTTTCTCTGGTCTCCTGATCAGTAAGGACGCCCACCTTTGTAGTGCCTCATCCACATGCCTCTTGAATTAGTCTTGGGTGGCCTCAGACATATATCACTTCCGTTTTTAGTATGTGGTTTGTCTTGTGAAATCAAGTATTCCTTCTCGGGAAGGTATGAATTATAGATGACCTTCTTTGCCTCGGGAAGCACAGATCAATACAACAGTTGGAAGAGTTAGAATTTACATCAATTAAGAAGATTTTGAAAAATATATAGTTAGTTCTCTGCAGGGCATCGTGAAAATGCAGAAAGTGAAGATATCGCTGCCTGCAGCTTAGATTTTCGTTAGAAGCATTATTCATAGAACCGCTTTTTCCTGTGGGGAGTTCCAGATACCTCCCTTCTGTAACCTCGGTACGTTGTATAGTAATGGGAGCTCTTCTTAATGTACATTAATGTTGACATTAGTGACCCTTTGTCAAGGGAGTAGCTGCTTTGAGTGGTGTTATTTTACTGGTTGTCTTCATAATACACCAGAAAGGAAGATGGGGTAGATGTCACGAAGCTGACTTTCTAGAAGAGGAAGGCGGGCGAGATGTAATCAGACCTTAAGTCTTCTGAGCAGCGCAGTGAAGTTTTTATTATGGCAGAACTTATGGGGGAAGGAGAGCCGACGTTGGCTTCCTATAGTTGTTACAGGAGATCATTGAAAATAGAGCAAGCAGGAATTTAAATAAAAATAATGCTAGATTGTCACCTCTGCCAAATGAATTACCAGATGGGATGAGACTCTGGATCTGTTAGGTCTCTGGGAGAATTAATTCTTTTGTAAGGACACGAAATAGCCCGCAGTTCTGATCAAAATGCTGAAGGAACTTTGCAGACCACGCTGTTTATCTCTTTCTTTAGAATTCTTAGCTCTCTTCATGCTTCCTCTATAAATACAAATACGAACGGACATAACCTTACCCTTCTGTAGTATTTTTTGTCCGCACTAGTGATCTATCACCTCCCTTTGGGTTTCACGTTGAAGTCCATGGAGTAACTGAAAATAGCTCAGATGCAGTTAACCTGGGAGAGAGGCTTCAATGGAATAGAAACTAAACATTATTAACTTCATCGTCGCCTATGTTAATATAATAAACCCTCAACTTGGCTTTTTCGGGGGAGGGGTGGCTTTTAATTTATATGGAAAAGTACCTGATAGAATTGAATTAGCTTTAAAAATGTTCATTTCCAGCGATGTTGTGATTCTGTGACACGGAGACCAGCTGGCCCTGGGCACCGTTTTGCAGTCATTTCAACCGTCTCCAAATTGCACACTCTGTTTCTCTGTTTCCTAAGTACCTAGCACTATGTCTGACACAGAGGGTACTCAATAAAAGTTAATGAAGGAGAGTTACTGCCTAGCTAAATGTCACCGAGTACCCATGACATTCTGAATCATCCAGAAGGATGCACTTTTGTTCTACATGTTGCATTTCCTAAGGCAGGAAAGGGAACTCCAGTCCCTGAGATGTTGTACCGGCGTTAATGTTGCCAAAGGCTCCTTATGTGAACAGATAAATGAGTAAGTGGCTGGAGGCTGCCTCCTCGAATGTTCCGCTCATTCGTTCTGTGTTTCCTTCCGTCGTAACACCGGCTGTGCTGACTTGGGTGCCGGCTGCCATTTTGACCGCATGGAGCAGATGATTGACAGAATATGTGTGAAAGTACAGGACCATCTCAACTCGTTACGAAACTGTGCGGGAGACGCCGTCCAGGAAGATTTAAAATCAGCAGAAAGGCTCATGCGTGATGCCAAGAATTCTAAAACGGTGAGTAGCACGTCAGGCTACGTGAGAAGCTTGTGTACTAAAAAGGTTTGTTTTAATTTCGATTTTAGAAACCAGTTCCACCTTTTGTTAATCTTTCTACCCGATTTCGAGGGTATTAACAAGGGGCAGAGTGAACGGAGTTCAGCTTTGCTTCCTCTCTGTGATCCACCCGAATCACCGGCCATCGACACACAGAATAAAAAGTTGAGTAGGATAAAACGTGCAATCAAGCCCTGAATAAATGGGAGGTAGGGTTGTCGTTTAAATGAGGAACAACTCCTTCTTCAGTCATTCTGCTTCCAAGCTGATCGCGTGAAACTCCCCTCTGGCACCATAAAGAAAGCTTCTTTCAAAGTAGAATTTGGTTCCCCAAGTGTGACTTGACTAATGGGGTCAGAAAACCTGGGGCCCTGTCCTGGCTCTGCTCTTGGAGTCACACGATCACGGAGTGTTAGGAGTAGGAAGTCCTTGGGCATTCGTACCCCAGATGAGGACATCAAGGGGCACAGAGCTAACGTACTGTTATGGTCTCAAAGCTGGACCCCTGTTTCTAAATCTGTATTAAAGAGCCTTTGGTCAAGAATACATGATCTCTAATAATATTTCTTCATCCTTTTTTACTAACTCTGCAATGACTTTGGTGCTTATTTAATTACAGAGAGGTGATTTGTACTTTTATTACAGTTGTTACCAAACTTATACCATGTTGGTGGTGCCTCTTGGGCGGGGGCCAGTGGCTCGTTATCCGGTCCAATTCAAGAGACCCTGGAATCGATGGCTGGAGAAGTCACGAGAGTCGTAGATGAACAACTAAAGGTTTGTGGTTTCTGTTATTTCGGAAAATGAAATCGTCGTGGCCTCGCTATGTATTTCATGCCATAGCTACTGACATTTTCTAGATCTGTGTGTCCGCATGTGTGCGCGTGCACCTGCCCACACGTGCGTGTGGTAGAGACTGATTGCCGTGCTTTTCTAGCTTCGTTTCTAAGTTTTGGAATAACTTCTTACATCATGAGATCAAGTGAAACCTAGAGAATGCCATTTTATTTTTGGTGGTAAGCCTCCAAATGTACCATCACCACTGATAAGGGAACGATGGGTTTCTACGCACGAGGCAGAGAGAGAAGACTGCTTTGGGGAAAAAATTAACTTGTGTGACTACATTTGACTTAGAGAAGGAGGATGGGAGCTCTGTTTACAGTGCCTACGTGCTGCTGCTTTGGAGACTCCCGCTAGGCGAGGAGGTAACAGCCCTTATAAGAAGCTGGTTAGAAGACAAAGATAGGGATTTAGATGAAGTCACGAGGCACCCAAAGTGGCAGAGACTTGTCCCCAGGCTCCCCAGCTGAAAAAAGCCTCTGAAATGTAAGGGAGTAGAGTAACCAAACACTAGATTTTTCTTTTTTCTTTTTACAGTTTTTTTTTAGTGTTTTTTTTTTTTAATTTTTGAGAGAGAGAGAAAGAGAGAGAGAGAGAGAGAGAGCACGAGCAGGGGAGGGGCAGAGAGAGAGGGAGACACAGAATCCGAAGCAGGCTCCAGGCTCCGAGCCGTCAGCACAGAGCCCGACGCGGGGCTCAAACTCACAAACTGTGAGATCATGGCCTGAGCCGAAGTCGGACTCCTAACCGACTGAGTCACCCAGGTGCCCCAAGACTAGATTTTTCTTAAGGTAGCTTCAAAAAACAGCTACACAGAGAAATGTTACCTTCAAACAGTTTTCATCATTTCTAATCTGCCTGCTCAAGGATGCCTTAAAAAATCGTGTCTGCGTTTCTATAATTATTTGGTTTCTTCTGAGAACAAAATTGCTATGGTTCATAGGGATTTGATGTGGGACTCAGTAATAATTTCACAACAGGCTAATTACTATGCTTGTAAATTAACTTAATGAGGAAGAAAATGTGGATTGTTTAGGAGTTTAAGCCTCTGTTGTCTCCCTGTGCGAATGACGTAGAGAGGCTCGTTTGTGTATTGTCTTTATTTAATTTTTTTAACGTGGTTATTTTGAATCCATTCTGAATAGAGACAAAGGGGCAGAAAAAGGACCACTGGCTGGTTGGTAGAGCCCTGCCAGATCATTTGTTAGCTAATGTTTTGTCCTCCACGAAGGATAAGATATGTAAGGATGTTATCTTTGTTGTTTATTTATTTCTTACTTACGAAAGGAAACTCAGTCTGTGAAACGTTGAAACAGTACTAATAAGTGTAAAAGAAATGAAAGTGAAAACCACTTGAGATCCCAGAGTGGCGTCCTTCTTCATGTTTTAGTGAATTTTCCAAACACTCCGTGTCTATACGCACAATTTTACCTCTACATGATTACACCAGAATACTTTTTATATTCGGTACAAGGTCATGAATACAATTCAAGGAAAGTGAATGATCACCATCATTTTAATGGCGACACAGTATCTCATGACATGGATGTACCAGTGCATGCAGAAACCTCTGTCCCCCTGTCTGTCCTTCACTTTCACACCGAAAGCTTCACTCCTGACACTTCTGGTCGCCAGATGTGTGGGAATTTCTCCCCACCAAGCAATTCTCTGTGACACCAACTGAGTGCCCTACAACTTAACTCAGTTCTGACTCTGTCTACCCAGAGAAGGTTCAGACCCCACAGGTTAGGAGTTCAGTCTCACAAGACTGTTCCTCACCCCTAATTCAGATGCCAACAGGAAGTCTAGGTTGTCACCTGTATTTCTGACCGATTGGCTATAATTAAATCGGAGGTTCCCCCATCACCTCCCTCAGGTGGGATTAATTTGCTAGAGCGACTCACAGAAGTCAAGGAAACACGTCTACCAGTCTATTCAAGGATGTGATGAATGGTACAGATGAATACTCAGATGAAAGGCAGGCCCAGGGCAGGGTCCGTGGGGAGGCACAAACCTGCCACATCTTGTCACAGAGCCCCCCCCTGCCCCGTGCCTCCACGTGCTCACCAGTCTGGAAGTTCTCTGAACGTGTACTTTCTGGAAATTTTTTAAAGTTTTTAAAATTTATTTTGAGAGAGAGACTATGCGAGCCAGGGAGAGCAGAGAGAGAGGGAAAGAGAGAATCCCAAGCAGGCTCCGCACTGTCAGCACAGACACAAGGCTCGAGCTCAGAAGTTGTGAGATCATGACCAGAGCCAAGACCAAGAGTCAGATGCTTAACCGACTGAGCCATCCAGGCACCCTGTACTTTTTGCATTTTTTATGCTCCCTTCTCAAGAGAAGGTGTAGCAGGGCTGAAAACTCCTACCTCCTAATCGTGGTTCGGTCTTTTCCAATGACCAGCCCTCATCCGGAACCATTCAGAAGCCCACCCAGCGTCACCCCATTAGAACAAAAGACACTCCTAGTATCCAGGAAATTACAAGGGTTTTCGGAGCTCTGTGCCAGGAACTGGGGCCAGAGACCGGTATGTATTTTCTGTTATTTCGCAGCCAGCCTATTTATTGTCTAATTTCTGATTAGTCCAGTTAGGGTCAATGCCGATAGCTGACCCACTCCTAGGTCCAGTGGTCTTTTATACCTTGATGTGCAACTGCTTGCGTTTGCTGCACCCTCTTTCAGTATTTGTGTAGTAATCTTTTAATATTCGTCAATATAAAGGGTTAGAAAAAGTTCATTTTGTCCTTTGGATTTTTTTTAAATGTTTATTTATTTTGAGGGAGAACGGTCAGGGGAGGGGCAGAGAGAGAGAGGGAGTGAGAGAATCCCAAGCAGGCTCTGTGCCATCAGCAGAGAGCCCGATGTGGGGCTCGAACTCACAAACCGTGAGATCGTGACCTGAACCGAGATCAAGAGTTGACGCTTAGCCGACTGAGCCGCCCAGGCACCCCTGTCCCTTGGATTCTTTTTAGTAGGCAGTATAAGTCAAATAATGTTATTAGCCATTTGTATTTCTTTTATACATTGCACATTTGTATCTACTGTCTAATTTTTCCCTTTAATGTATGTGCGAGAACTCCTTACGTGCCAAAAATTGGCTGGCATCTAAATCTACGTCAGACACGGCAACAGGACCTTCCTTGTCGAACAGCTGCTGACTGTGTTTGTCTCAACTGGTGGAAACCACAAGCCGTCTGCCTTCCCTCTGTCCCATTTCCTTCTCTGTGCACTGAGCGGTTGCCATGGACTCACCTCTCATTCTTGGGAAGGAGTAGAAGGCAGAGGTCTGAAGTAGAAAGCTTTTGAATTTTTAAAAGCCTGAAAAAATGGCAGTATATTTAGGACCCAAACTATTTTTTTGTAAATAGACGTTTCCCGCATCTTCTGATGCTGGCCAGTCCCACCGGGGGCCTCCATCACGGCTTTCTTATTTGTGTGTCCAGAGAATGCCTTTCTCTGCTCTCGGGTCCCCGAGGTCCCAGCTCCTCAGTGGCCCGTGTTTTATATTCCCCACTTGCTTGTTTTCTTCACTCTTCAGTCCCCTTGCAAGTTCCTTTCCCTTTGGGAACGTCTGGCATGAATCAGAGCAAATCTTCAATTGCGACCTCTTACTTAAAAGTTGCTCATGAGTTTCCTTTTAACTGTGTGCAGTAGACTACTTTCAATAGACTGCAGGCAGTTTACTTCCTCTCTGTTTCCTTCTAGTTTACTGACAAATGGACATCGTTTCCCTATTTATAAAAATCCCCATTTGTCTATTTATACAGCCTTTCAGCGTCTTGATTTTCTTAAAATTATGTCGGAAAAATGTGTCTTATTAGAATCCATATTAACTCTTTTACTAAACTACAGTGGTCCTTCTTTATTTCACTACTAATATCAACTTTGTTTTTAAAAGAAGTCCTTTCTCTGTCTCCCAAACTCTTTCAAATTCATGTGTTACACTGGCAAAAGCTAACATGGATGGGATGGTTTTGTAGAATTGAGTTTTTATTGCAGTGAATTTTCAAATAATGGGACAAGTAGGGCTGGGGTTGTGCCCCGGGCTTGCTCCTAGCTCCGTGCTCTAAGCAGGTCAGCGGTGTCCCTGTGTCTAAGCATTGTCCTACACCAGGGCCAACGGTAGACATTTTGAACATTGGGTAAGAATAAGTTCCACTAGCTCCCGAGCCACCTTTCAAAAAATATCCTTTCAGAAAAGCAAAAGAAATGTCCAGGTGAGCCGCCTTCTTAGCAGACTTCCTGGAAGAGAAGAAAGCCATTAAGTTTGGAGAAATCCCTTTGAAACGAGGTGCTATTTTCTCTGGACTAGGCTGTTTTAGGTATTTTAAAAGGACAACTCTCCTCCTGTTTTCCCTTTTTTTTGATCCTAACATTGATTCCCAGAGTAAGAGCAGTAATAGTGGATGAATAAACGGGATTTGAACGTTTTAACATAAAAGAAACCTTCATTTTTCCCTTCTGGTCTTAAATTTCAGAGTGCTTGTTTTGGCTTTGGAAATTCTTACTCACTCCCAGTGTAACCTCTGAAATACATCACTGGTAAATTTCAGATTTATGAAGGAAATGAGGCCTGAGGGGTGTCGATGGCATTTTCGCAGGTATTAACTCCGTTTGGCTACAGGAGTTCTCTGAGTTTTCTTATTTCCCTACACTTATTTTCTAAAGCAAAAGAAAGATTTCAGGGCCCTTTAGTGTGGACATTGTATTGGCTGGTAGTGAATTACAGCAAGTCTTTGGCCCACTGCAAGAATATGGGAGTGTAGCCGCCATGGTAAGGCTATTCACCCAATTTATTTTACAAATACTGTGCAGGATTTCAGAGTAGTGTTAGTTGTTTTTACAGTTAAGAAATAAGAGACCCTCATAACTGTCATTGCGGCAAAGTGAAATCTGATTATCACATTTCAAATACAGGGTCACTTACTGCAAATTGT